TGGCTAGGTCTCAGCCGACCCCGCGAATGTGGGCTCTCAGCCAGCTGACCCAGCACTTACTATGGTCACTGAGCACCCCCAGCATCCCGAGTCTTTGCTGGAGCCCGGCTCCCCGGTCTGGGCTTGGAATGCCTGGCGCCGTGACTCAGCAGCGGCACCTGGCTTCCATGCTCAGATTTTCCGTCCTGAGCGGCAGGGGTGCAGAGTCCACGGCGGAGACCAAAACGCCTTGTACTGGATCTCTAAGCCATTGCAGTCCTCAGCTGCCCCGGCGGGGCTGCCAACCCCCGAGGATGACCTGGGACAGCGGCAGGTGGCTGTGGGGGGAAGAGAGGGGGATGAGCTCCCCCCACCCCGAAAGATTCTGTTGAAACGGCTAATATTAATGTGACTAAGCAAACCAGGCAATTGAAGCAAATCAGCCTGGGACCGGCAGGAAGCTCCAGCCATCCTGCTCTGTGCATTATTAATAAGAGCCTGGAGCCTGCACTACTTTCCTATGAGAGACACAACCGGCCACACACAGCTTCCCTTCTGGATCCTAATCAACCCCTGCAGCCCTCTCCTCCCCTCCCCCCCCAAAGTTCCCGTCAAAATCCCAATTCCCAAGCCTCAGTCCATTTCCTGCCAGGCAGGCCGGCCAATGCACCTGAGCTGGGGTTAGCCAAGAGTAGAATGGAATTAACAAATTAACATCAAAATACTAGTGTTTGATTAAAATTGCATGGGCAATATCCCCAAAGAGCTTGCAGCTTCCAAGCCCCTTCGCTCCACGAGACCCTTCATCCTCCGCTCGACCTTGCGCAGGGCAGCAGTGCTGTGACTGACGCAGAAGCACAGACAGATCTCACTGTTCACGCGCTGAAGGCCTCCGGGAAGATGCAGGGCTTGGCAATCTTCCATGTCTTTTTGGAGGGAGCTCACCTGTTCAGCAGGGTAGGGTCAGGACCCAATTTTCCTCTCATGGAGCTTATCTTAAGGTTTTATATTGCTGCCCATCACCATAGTATCTGAGCACTTTCCATTGGGCTGCAATGGAGCTACTCCTGATTTACACCAGTGCGAGAGGAGAATCGGGCCCTTTAACAGCCCGGCAGAGCGTCACAGAAATTAGAGGTTGGAAAGGGGCTGTCGGATCGTCTAATCCATCTGCTGGCTAACGCAGGATAGCCCCTTGCTGCACATTGCAAGAGGGTTTGGTGAACGGTCATGGAATGACTACAAGTGTACAAAGGAGTCCACTTTTCATGGCTTCATTGCATCGTGAGGAATGGATTTTCCCCCAGATGCAGGGGGAAAAGGGGTTTCTTTGGCAAATAGATGTAAAGCTGAAAATTGCCTGGGATTTGGGGGACATTAATATGCCTCACTCCTAACGGACCCATCACTAGTTTGTCCCCTTTCTGACCGAAGGCTAGTGGGTATGGAGAAATGGGGACTTAAAAGGCTGTTTGACTCTTTTGGTTTCTGTGAGCTGTGGTTATTACTTTAGCAAATAAGACAGCTCTCTTGGCCAACTTTGAGGGGCCATATAGCTTCATGGAGTGTCATCATCATTCATTGGGGACAACTTCATATGGTATTTTAACACCACACTGCTGACCTCCATGTTCACAGGCCCTGATACTGCACCTCTAAAGATTTATACGATCTGAAGAGAAACCAGAGTGAGTCAATGGAAGCTTTATCATTGACTTCCGTGAGTGCAAAGCACTAGCTCTGTAAGTGATCACAGTCGTTACGAGGGCTGGGCAAATAATTCATAACAAATAATTAATTCCACATCTTTTTCTCATTGCAAATTGTCCACGAACAGATTGTGATTTTCCCAAGCTTATTTGTTAATCAGAATTAGTCACTGAATTTCCACTAATAATTCTTTGTCTCTAGCTCCGCCCTGAGCAGTTAACAGAGAGTAATAGTGATTTGAGTGGTTTTGATTGGGCACAGGTCACATGGTATGTTTCTGGTCCCTGACTGGATAAATGTAAGGTCAAGTTTCTGGTGCAAATATGAGTCTGAAACTCACTATCTCTGAATAAGCAACAACATTTGCTGAAATTCCCAAACATTCCTGCCAGTAAACTCATTTGCTAGACTATCCGCGGGGAGCAAACACAAAAGGGGCACACGCGGCCAAAGCAAATTCATTTCAACATTTGAACAAGCGGAAGTTAAAATTGCAGGATTTGCCCAGCTGTTGCAATGCTATTGTCTGCAATGATACTTCTGCTCTGGGGAGAGTGCAGGAGAAGCAGATGGGTGGTGGGTATTTGCACACGTTCTCAGCTGCTAGCTGCACCTCCGTGATACCCCTGATATTGCCAGCTGCAGCGCTGGGATGGCTTGCAGGCTGCTTGCTTAAATGGTCTCTGTCATGTTCACAACATACATGCAGAGAAGTTAGATAAAAAACATAAAATACTGTTGAACCAAAACCAGAGAGAGACAGAGCAGGCTGCTCCCTATGGCAAGGCACAACTCAACCCATTTGCTTTAGCCTGGCTCTTTGCAGACTGACTCTGAAGAGTGAAGATCCAGATCACACGCTTCCCTACAGAGCCCCCTAGCCTGCAAGCAGGACCAAGAAGCCCCCTGAGAATTTAGAGTGATTGTTTATAATTTTAACAGTTTTCAATACATCACATTCTCCTCCTTAGTGACACTCAGCAGATCATGTCCCTGACAGCTCCCTGCCAACTAGCAGCCTGCACTGTCGGACGTGTTAATCAGTGGGTGCAGCACTGCGTGCTCCTATTCTGCTTACCACGACACATTCACTTTGGAAATGCAGCTTCCACTCAAGCTGGCGGCCTTTCCTTTCCCATGCGTTGTTAGCTGTACTGAACTATTAACTCTGAGCAAACATACAACCCCCCACTCCCACAGGGGCAAAGATTACAGGCTTCTTGCTTCTCCTTTCTGCAGCATTTCTGTGGAATTGTTTTGGATTTTAAACAGCCAAAAATTAAAAGGCCAAGTCTTTCTTTTGAGATGCCCACAGCCACCCCTGCCCATCACTGGGGGGCACTCTGAGAGTTGTGACTCCCCTACTCCCTCCCTCCTGCCTGCATCTCCCCCCGAGCGACACTTCTGAAGTGTGCTGCTTTTCTGGATGTCATCTATATAGGTGCCCTCAGCATCACTACAGAGTCAACAGGCTGGTCCAGTCTATTTTGAAGCTGCAGACGTTCTGAGTATTTTGTGCTGGGCTGTTTAAAAGAACAAATAGTCTCTTAGCAAACTCTGATGGCATTGAGTCAACAGGGCTCAAGTGCAAGTCCGTTTGCTTTCCACAGAGACAGGGCCAGAGCTGGGTGAATGAGGCATAAGCGTTATCTATAAATCCCACGAATTTCCTTTGACGGTACTCGCAACTTATTTTAGCCCTTTGTGGGATGATGTGTGCGAGCCTATTTCATTCCCAAGGATGTTCACGGAAAGAATAATCGTTGTGGATACACCTATGAAGGAGTAATTTCCCTAGTATTTGGATCAGGAGATCACAACCATCTTGAAAGCTACGCATGAGCAGGGACCCTAGAAATCCGTCTGCCATGGAAAAACGCGGAATTTGCATTTTTACAGAGAATCTTTAGTTTTCACATTTTGTGAACAAATACACAGGGGAACCCCGATGATCTCATCTAATTGGGACAGGAGCCAGATCGGATAATCAGAAATTCAGATAATCAGGAGAATGGGCAGGGCTCGGGCTGTCAGCTTAAAAATTGTAAAGATATCAAGAAAATATTGTGTTTAACTGATAGCTCCATATATTGTGGCTAGGGAAACTGAAGTTCAGCCTTTCATTTTAATCGCAGAAAAACATGGATTTTTATAGGTTTTTTCATCAAAAAGTTTTGTTTTTTAATCACCAAAAACTAGGATCCCCATGAGTCATCCAATCAGGATGCAGCAAGGATACCATGTGACTTAAGTGACCAATCACACAGATATTGATATGTGAATACTCAAAGGAATTGTTTGTGACTGATTCATACGTTTGAAGACTAGAAGAGGCTATTATACTACAGTCATCTCGTCTGCTCTCTTGCAGAATACAGACCACAATATTTCATCCATCTAGTTTAATAACTTGTGGTTAAACTAGAGCATCTTGTTTAGAAAGGCATCCAATTCTGATTTAAGTACTCCAAGAGACAAAGAACTTACCACAGCCCTTGGTAAGCTGTTTCAGAAGTCAATTACCCTTGCGATTAACATTTTTCATCTTGTTTCCAGTTTGAATTTTTCTACCTTCCACTTCCAACTATCGGCTCTTGCTCTGCATATCCTGAAATGTTTACAAAACCATCTGCTGAATAGTATCAAATAATGGGCAAATCCATACAAAAAAGCAAAGCCTGTTCCTTTGTTAACAGAAAAAACAGCTAGATTCATAGGATAAATTGTTCACTGCAAATAGTTTGCCCAGCTCTTGATAAGACAACGGGCAGATAAGACGAGCCTTGTTTGGTTTTTGGTTTTGGCCTGAGAAATTTGAGCGTGTACAGCAAGAAGCCCTGGTCCCAGATACTTAGGGCTGATGACTGCTTTCTGGGTGCGTAAGTCACTGAAAGTTACAAAAGAATGGAAAGTCTGAGACATACCAGAGAGACGCCTCAGACAAAAATTCCAGGGTTTGTTTCACAGTTTCTTACCTGCCTGCCAGTTTGTGAAATGTGAAATACCAGCCAACTGTTCCAGAAGCAACGCCTGCGTTATCAGGGCGGGGTGTGAAAGGAGGGGTCTAGATGTGATGGCAAAGGAGTGCTGCTGGTACTAATCATGTCGCAGCGGCCAGAAAGGCGCCTGCATTTCACGAGCCAGGGCAATGCCAGGATACTCCTGGATAGCAATTCAAGCTTCAAACCTGGATTATTGTGTGCGGTGGAGAATCAGAATTTAGAACAGAACACTGGGTGAAAGCTCGAAATGCAAATGAACCAGGTGAAAAAAATATAAACAAACATGAAGGTTTATAAGGAGTTCTCTAAATGAAGCGTACGAGGACACAAAAGCAATGGAATATTGCACCAAAGAACCCTTGATTCTCAGCCCTTAAGCCAGTCTTCTGCCCAGTCCCGCCACCACATCCTATTGAACCAACCTACCCCGGAGGTTCCACAGCATTATAAATGCAGCCAGCGTAAGCTTCATGAACTGTTAGGAGCTTGCCGTTTTGTAGGCTAACAGTCGGGCGAGGCCTTTGGCCACGGCATAGTTTCTCTCAGCCAGCATTTCTGAGCTCTACAAAGAGGACTCCCTGTTCTCCCTCAGCTCTGACTGCATTGGCAGTGCAGAAACCAGTCACAGAGGTGGGTGGTGCCAAAGGTGGATGAAGCCAACCAACTAATCATGGTTCCTCCATATGCCCATAAATGAGGACAAGGACAACCCAATGAACGTTTCCTGGTGCTGCTTCCGAGAGGCCGCAGTGACCTCACGGAGTGTGTGGATCATACCCTTTTATGGGTATGCATTTTGGCTTCAGTGACTCAGCTCTTGTTTTAATTCACAAAGCGAAGCCAATCTCCAGGGGCTTGGCTCTGCCTTTGGTTTTTCTGGCTTCTCCAGTCATCTTATTTGCTGCTGCTAATGTTATCTCCTAGGACACTGGAAGACAGCCCATTCTGAAGAGAGAACTAAAGCTTCCCCAGTAAGCGCCGAGGTATTGACACCAGTAGAGTCTGGGGACATCTGCAGCCTGCACTGGGCCCAGAGGCCCTCCCGGTTAAAGCATGTCATTGGGGCGCATGAGGTTTCATGGTGCATTGGTTTGATTAGTCCCAAGAATGACCGGGTTGCAACTCCATTCTTAAAATGAACTGTCTCCAGCTACCACATTCATCTTGAGGTCTTTCCCCCTGTGACTGAGTGGATCCCAGAGGGGAGCACATCACATGTCCTGGTGACCATTGTCCTAGTTTGCCTCTAATTGTCAGCCATGTCTGCTGGAGAAAATGTCTGATCTCTGCACAGGAAAATATTAATAAAAGAGAAAGAGAGAGGGTGGGAGAGAAGACCCTTGAGTGGTTTGGAAACTGTCTCTTATATTCCAAGCATGCGATTCAGGTTTTCATATCTGTGGTCCACAGTCCATCCCAGAGGCGCTCGGTTCACAGTGTTGGAACAATCTGCCAAGCAGACGGCTTGGCTAGGAGACGTTTCCAAAAGAAGCTGGAATAAGGAGGAAAGAGAGAGGAGGATGAACGCCAAGCTTGTCTACACTTGACAGGCTTGTCTACACTTGAAACTCTACAGCGGAATGGCTCCAGCAGCACCACTATAGCGCTTGAGTGTAGACACTACCTATGCCAAGAGAGGGGCTCTTCCATCGGAGTAGGTAATCCACCTCCCTGAGAGGCAGTAGCTAGATCAACAGAAGAATTCTTCTACCCCGTCTACACCGTGGGCTAGGTCGGCTTAACTATGATTTTACACACCCCTGAGCGACGTTGCTGGGCTGCCCTCACTTTTTAGTGCAGACCAGGCCTTAGAGAGCGTGCCCACTGCAAAGCACAGAGAACTTTGCTGCATCTTTAGAGCTGCCACAAATGCCCTGCTGCACCCCACAGAGCCAGTTGCCCCTCAGAGCTAACAGAAGGGCCCCTTGACTTAGACCCATCTTTGCTATGACTTAGGTTGGGAATATGGCATTAGGCACCTGGCGCTAAAGCGTCAGAGAATTCAGTCCTGTATTGTTCCAAGTTTCCTCCTCTATTCCCTTGCTGTCCTCATTTTGGGATTGAGCCTTGAGAAATCCTGGGACAGCAGGCTAAGGCACCATGGAGGGTCCGCAGCTGTGGCTTGGGTCTAAGACACAGCTGCGAAAGGAACAATGGCATTGCCTGTGTCAGCGGCAGGAGCTGACTGATGCTCTCTGCTAATCTCCAAGAAAGCAGAAGCTCCACCCTGTAGCTGAGTCCGGTTCTGTAGTGACAATGTCCAGGGCAGAAAGCACAGTTCTCATGCATGGGATCCTATTTAGTATTTAAAGGGGGTTGCTTTTGGGAGGAGGTCACCTATCCCCAGGGGGCTGACATCGTCAGACCGATTGCATGCAGGCCACCACATAGCCATCAGACGCAACAACTTTCAGTCAGAGCCGACGCGGGCTGGATTTGAACCAGTGACCTACAGACAAAACATGCCACAGTCCAGTACCTATCCCAAGCCATCTGCCCCCTTTCCCCTTTCAAGCCCCAAGAACGTTGGCATTTACCCAATGACTGCAGAGCCAGGCACATACCGCTGCAGTCACCACAGGATTCATGGCTGCTGCTTCACAGCCCCTCCTCGCCCTCCCATGTACCTTGGCTGAGCAGCTGTAGGTTCCGGACCTCCTCCCGCACCTGGAGTTGCAGGACTTGCTGGAGGACCTCCTGCCGCTGAGACTCATGAATAATGCCCATGCGCTGCAGCTTTTCCGCATTCAGCCGCAACAGTGCCCGACCTGCCAAACACAAGCGAAGAGACAGCGCTCATTCAGAGTGATGGAGCAGCACCACTCTGACTCTCATCAGTGGCGAAATGGTGTGTGCTAAGGAAAGCCAGGCGCTGGGAACACTGGCCGGATTCCATAGGCAGGTGCAGGGTGTTCTGGGTTGAGTTAAACATTACTGTAGCTAGTGGGTGTATCAGCTGCCAGGATCGATTTAAAAAAGCCACTAAGCTCCTTCCTATAACCAGATAGCTCAAACAATAGGAGCCACCACCCAAAACAGGCATCTGGCAAGGCTTGAGTAAAAATGGAAGTGTGAGGCCCAAGGGGTTTCCCTGGGAACTGTCGTGGCAAACACAGGGGCTGGGGCATTGATTGGTGGAGCTGTGTGTGTCTGGGTGTCTCAGAGAAACAGGAAAAAGACCAGAGAAGCAGGGTGAGAAGCAGCAGAAAGCCAAGGATGCTGTCAGAAAAAGCACTGGCAACATGGCCCTGAGAAAAGCTGAGAGAGAGCTTTTGGGCTAAGCGCTGGCTGGAAAAGGGGCTTGGAACAAAGACACCATCTCTTGTTATTTGATTCCTGCTGTGTTTAGGGAAACAGGACTTTGTACATTCTATGCAAATCAACAGGACTGCATCAGAGAATCACCTGACTCCATCACCAATTTCTCCTCCTAACTGGAACAGCGCACAGGACCTTGAATTTTTGGCTAACTGCTTGGGTCAAAAGGTGCTCGCTTCCAAAAGGCAGCCATCAGGAAGAGTCCTAGCACAGCGAGGGCCAGGTACCCAAACAGGCTTCAAAAGTGCCCCATGAGTATTGCCCACAGGATGAAGCTGCAAACATCAAACACCCACATGCATAACCCGGCATTTGCATCTGCTAATGGGGAGGGGCATGTTGAAAATTCATCCCCATAATGCAGAACAAATAAGCACCTGAATTCTGTTCATCAGAAAGGCAAGAAGGGAGGGACGGGGAGGGAAATGGTGACAAATGCAGCCCCCTCCAGCAGTGATCACCTAACACAGCAATGCAACAGCCTCAGCAGCAACCATACAATACAAAAGAATTACACCAGAGATGCACACATGTAGTGTTTTCCGCTGCCGTATCACGTTCTTAGGCTGAATCGTAATGCAGCTCCGGTAGGACTGTTAGTCAATTGAATTGTATATTGATGACTCTCCCCAGCTCCCTTTGTGGGGAGAGGCTCAGCCCTGCACTGACAAGCTTTTTGTCTGTCAAAATGACTTCTGTTGCCTGCAGTAAGTGCTCTATTGCTCCGAGTCCCATGCAAGGAGTACCGGAGCCTGGGCTGTCCCTGGGGCCCATTCCAAGTGGTCATGGAAACAGGGCCGGCTCCAGGCACCAGCTGAACAAGCAGGTGCTTGGGGCGGCCAAGGGAGAGGGGCGGCACCTGAGGCAATTCGGGGGCGGCAGGTCCCTCACTCCCTCTAGGAGCAAAGGACCTGCCGCTGTACTGCCCCGCCGATCGCGGCTTTTTTTTTTTTTTTTTCTTATTGCCGCTGCCGGTCGCGGTGGCGGCTTTTTTTTTTTTTTTTTTTTTTTTTGCTTGGGGTGGCAGAAATGCTGGAGCCGGCCCTGCATGGAAAGTAAAATCAGGAACAGGGGGAGGTGTTTTTCTGCAAATAAAGCCGTGTTGGCACGCTTGTTTCCAGCAGGGGGTGTCCTGCTGAATGCACAACTGTCAGTGTGCACCGCCACTCAGTGTAAATATCCATTGTGGGTTCCGGGAGCCTGCCCTAGAGGCTAACCCGCGGGGCTCTCCCACGACTCAGCTGCAAGGGCTGTGCGAGCGCTCACACAAGGCTAGGACCAGCTTCTGTCTCAGCAAAAGATCTAGTCGCTCACCCTACTTGTTAAAGGCCGGGCTAAATCAAACAGAACCGAACAGTCACTGGGCACCCTTCGCCATCCTCTGGCATTCCTGAAAAGGGCAACGCTCCAGCAATGCCAATCACAAAGTGGTCCTAATCCTAATCCTGAAGTTTGGGTCAAGTGCTTGCCCCTCAGATCACATACTCCCTAAAGGCAGGCGCTTTCTATTTGTCAGCTCCATCTCCTGCATCAGGACATATTATTTGGAATGCCCCGGCTCCGCTCTTCTCGGTAAGCTGGCAATGTGAGGAGTTAAATTAGAAGTACCCATCAGAACACATTAACGTTCCCATCAGCGCTTTTAGTCACAGCCATTCTCCTCCAGTCCAGGGGCTATCAGAAGAGGGGTTTTACAGCCAGCTTTTGTCCCCGTCTCCCAGAGTACATTTGCTAATACTTCCTTTATTTCTGATGCAAGGACTTGGGTGAGCTGTTACATTAGTGCCGTGTCATTCCTCTAGGGCATGAGACAAAGGCATACAGCTTCCCATCTCTCTCGCTCCCTTCCCCGCTGCCTTCTCCTGGCAAAGCATTTTATGATCCATCTCTGCCTTGCAAAGCAGGCTGCAGACTAGTGATTCTGTGCAAGGTGGAGAGGGAGGGAAAAAAGGCCGGGACTGAGTCCATCGCCTTTGCTTTGTGGGGACTGGATTCATTTTCTGGGTCTCCTCAGACAGACACACCCGTGGAGCGGACACTACTTTGACTACCAACACCCAGCTAGCTAATTGAAAACTTTAAAACATTAATTCTACAGCTTCGCTTACTGTCTTTCTTGATGTTCTTCTACAAACATCCCTTTGTTCTTCAGATCAAACAGCCCCCGATTTACTATTTTAGGATACTCTGCCTACAGTCTAACACCTGAAAAAAAGTGTAATTTATATGGCCATATCAGGTACCTAGATATTAAATACATATGTAAGCAATAACACCTGGCCAGATGTGCAGTGATACCAATACCTGCATAATGTAGGTAGATTGTGCAGTATGAGGCTGAATATCAAAGACCTTTTAACCGCTTGAGAACTGCAGGTATTTACTATAATGAAACTTCTTGAACTAGGTTATTGCTTTGCTTTGTTGTTATTTTTGGAGCAGGGAAAAAGCTGGTGTTGTTGACTATCTTTCTGTAACAAGCTAATGAGCCCTGGCCTTTGTGGTTATTCCCAGTGACAGCTCGGCTAGAACCTTCATCAGCTGATTAGAGTCCTCCTTTGGTAATGGGAATGTAGCCATCCATTGAAATGAAAGGGATTCATGTGTACACATTCCAGGGCAGAACTTTGTCTATAGTATGTGTGTGTGGGACATAGGACAGTAGCAGAATCTCAGATCTGAAGCCTTTCAGAGTTTGAGGGAGAAGCGGGTGGATCCTCACATATTAACCCAGCACCTAGGGCTTCAGTTCTAGGTTGGATCCAGAACTGGGAGAGGCCGCGGGTATTTTCTGGTTTCTGTTTGGATGTAGCAAAATCTTGCGAGAACAGTCGCTCTGATGAGATTTTTGCTGAAGATGGTGGAAGTCTTACTAGAGCTGCTGATCTCACTAGATTTACATCTTCCGAGATGGGCAAAATATCAGGATATCAGCAGAGCTGCCTTCATTTATTTTTCTTAAAACAAAAAAATGGCCCCTTTTAGAAAACAAAGAAATTCACAAAAAGCTGGTGACTTTCATAAGCTTGTCTTCTTGTGAAAAAATTTTCACAACACTTTATCAAAAGCATTATCCAAATATTTTTATGTATTGAAAACTGGTCTTGATGAAAATAGATTAAAATGTTTTGCAAAAAACAAAACAAAAAACATTTAAAAAATCCCAGACAATGAAAAAAAAATAGGTCTGTTTTGAATGCTGCAAAACAGAAACAACTTCGACATTTTGAAATTGTTTGCAAAAGATTTTTTTCCAGCTGATCTTATGATATTCCTGACAGTTTGGGTCAACATTCTTGCAAGAACAGTTTATGAGATTTTGCTGCTGTTGATTTCTAACACAACACCCAGGCATGATTTGCCTTGTAGATGCATCTGAACTCAACCGAAACCTCAGTAAACTGAATCTGAATATAGACAACAGAGCAAAAAGTCCCATTCACACATTATGTACATTCTGCAAAGTGTTCCTTAGGCTCTTAGTTCCACGTTTTGCTCATATCTGAGGTGCAGAGTGCCCACTGTCCAGTGTCTCATTGGATTAAAGGTTTTTGATGGCATTTTCCGCCTCTTCCTTGGCTGCTGTAGAATGAAAAGGTGAACAAGTTCCCATGTCTAACCCTGCAGCTATCGGTACGCAATGCAATCAGCAACAAATGATGAGGTAGGAAATTGATATTATGAGGAACAGGAAATTTGTTTAATATTTAATCCTCAATCATCTCTGCATTTCTAATGACTTTTCCAGTCACTCCCATTTTTTTTGGTCACATCAGGCGCCTTATTAATATTACATGAGATGAGTCTCGTTGTTGCATTGAGCAGAGCAATAGGCAGCAAGGCAGATAGGAAGAATGGCTTAGTAACTAGGGCACAAGATGAGGTTCGATTCCTGACTCAGCCTGACTCTTGGGCCAGTCATTTAATTAAACCTAGCCTCAATCCCACATCTATAGAATGGGATTAATATTTTCCTGCCTCTCAGGGATGGTGTAGGGGATAAAAGTCTGTGACTGATTACCAGGTGCTCAGATACAACAGTGGAGAACCTAGCTAGCCAGACTCTCTGGCGTGACTGGATTCTAAAGAGGACAGCCTTCTGTTCAGCCATTTCCTCTTTTCACACAAAACCCACAGCCGCCTAACTTCTGAGCTGGGAAAGAAACTGGAAATGGTTAAATTTTGCTGTTAAAATAATAAGTCCTGACTCTTTTTTATTAAAGAGACAAGGTGGGGGAGGTAATAGCTTTTATTGGACCGACTTCCGTTGATTAAAAAGGCAAGCTTTTGAGCTTACACAGAGCAATTCTTCAGGTCTGGGAAATGTACTCGGGGTATGTCTACACTACCCGCCGGATCGGCGGGCAGCGATCGATCCAGCGGGGATCGATTCATCACGTCTAGACTAGACGCGATAAATCGACCCCCGAGTGCTCTCCTGTCAACTCCTGTACTCCAGCGCCGCGAGAAGCACAGGCGGAGTCGACGTGGGAGCGGCAGCACAGTAAGTCGATCTAAGTACGCCGACTTCAGCTACGTTATTCATGTAGCTGAAGTTGCGTAACTTAGATCGATCCCCACCCCAGTGTAGACCAGGGCTCAGAGGGTCACAGTGGGACAGATTGTTAAACTTAAGGAGTTAGCACATGTTGCAAGAGACCATTCAAGGTGAAGTGGGCAGCTAACACCTCTGCAGCTGTAGGACAAAGGAGGGTTAGTGCCTTACAGATTGTTATAAATCCAATGTCTTTTACTGAGTCCATGATTTTTAATGTCGAGCACAGTTATGAATTTAAGCTCCCAGGCTCGTCTTTGGAAGGTGGGGTGCAGGTTTCCTTTGAGGATGAGGACGGAGATCAGATATGGAATGTGCACCTTTCCCAGACCTGAAGAAAAGCTCTGTGGAGCTCGAAAGCTTGTCTCTTTCTCCAACAGAAGTTGGTCCAATAGAAGATATGACCTCACCCACCTTGTCTCTCCGATATCCTGGGACCAACACGACTACAGCTACACTGCAAACAACAATGGAAGATCTGTCTTTCACTAAGTCACCTTCAGGTGCCTAGACAGACCCTTGAACATAAGATCTCGCCTTACAGTTTATTTTAAAAGACTGCTGTGACAGATTGGTACAGGCTCACCCATCCTGACACAGCCCCCAGCCCTTCCCAGAACCCGTCAGCGTAAAGAGATTGTGGCTAAGGAGCTCCCCTCAGGTGTTGGTTAGCAGAGGGCCAGGAAGAAACTCAGCTGATTAGAGCCGGCCTTAGCATTCTGGGATGGGAATGTGAAGCAGTTTTTGCTGCTGCCTCTCCTCATGGCTGCCTGAGCAGGGAAATGGAAGAGAAACTTACTTAAAGAAAGAAAGGTAGCTGAGATTTCCCTTTAAATCAGGGATGTCAAAGCCCTCATAGCACCCAAAGACCAACTTTGCCTGTCCCAAGACATTCCCCCTGCAGTGCCCTACTTCCACCACGCTTGTCAGCGAGGGTTTTAAATGGCCTTGGCTCTGGGTGCAGACAGATCAGAGCTGGGCCCAGCACCCTACACTACAGAGGCATGACTCTGGCTTGATTCATAGAGGTAGGGGTCTTGTGCAGAGTTCAGATCTGGGGGTTGATTCCAAGTCCCTGAAATGGTATTTGGATCTAGGGGTTTGGCTGAAGGCTCCCCTCTAGCTCTGAGTATGGTGTTAGCTACAGGTGAGGACTGAGCTGTCTTGAGGGAGAGGTGTTGGGGAAAAGTGAATCACATTCAGCTAGTTATGTTAATAAACCAAACCACCTGTATGCAGCAACCACTGAAAGTCTTTACTCATCATCAGCATTTTTCAATTAGTACCAGCTGGTTAGGGAGCATCTACTGTACCTGTGATAGCGTGATGGGAAAAGGCCTCCACATAGATGAGATAGTTATGGGGACAGTGTTTCTTTAGCCATCTGCACACATCCTGTTGGGTCCATAACACCACCGGCTTGGTAAGGCTGCCTAGCGTGGGGCTGGTATGGTAAATGCCGTAGTGATCACAGGGACGACCCTACAGAGGTTTTGAAGCAAGAAACAGAGAAAGGGGAGGGTGTTAATGGACTTCAGTACCACCAGGAGGAAAAAAACTCAACCATGGGATAAACAGAGGCCAGGCTGAAACATCGCTGGAGAAGAGAGAGGCTTGGATAGTCTGGAAGGGAGAACCCCACTGTTGGTAGCAGCAATGCCTGCATAACATTGCCCAAGCTACTTTGTGAGATCATCCTAACCCTCCTAATGGTCTTTTTCTTATTGGCTTGTCCAGAAGCAGCCTCAGCTGAGTTGTAGGAAACCATGCATGGACAGAAGCTAACAAAGGGAGAGAGGAGAGGGACAAGAACTCAGATCCATGGCAAGCCTGTTGACTACGCCCCAGCTGCGTGTTCTACTCCTGCATTTTCCGGTCTTTCCCAGAAAGCCACCATTCAGGAAGGATGTTGCATTGCATGGGCATGCTATGACTGCTGCTTACTGTACTAATCAGGATAATTTCCCTGTCAGTCTGTCCTTCCCCCATCTGCTCTCTCTGCCGGTTACCTCATCCTGTGTTTAGATTGCAAGCTGTGTGGGACAGGGACCGTCTTTCCCTCTTTGTATGCACAGTGGCTAGCAGAAAGGGGTGCAGAGCAGGGCCCCTCAGTTGCCTACATACAGACTAATAACAATACAGCATGTGATGCAGCAGCCTTTGTCTCAGAAGCATTGTCACTCCTGGTACTGCCCTGATGGTTTGCATTGCTCCTGGCAGTACCTCTCAATGTGTGTCTTCGTTCAGCTGGGGAGCGTGCGCAGGCGGAGAGCACCTGTGCTCAGCTGCTCGCCAGGAAGCACCCTCCACAACTTACCGCTGCTTTTCAAACAGTCGAGGCCCAGCTGCACCTATATTTTAAAAAAAAAGTCTTCACAAGAGCACACATGCTTGGAGCTGCCGGGGCAAACAGGGTAAATGCACCTGCCCGTGGCGAGTGAAGCGTGACCCAGCCTTGTTAGCCCTCGGAGGTGCACTCCTCCAATTTGCATCCATAATCATGGAGGTTCTTTCGCCAGAGCATTTCTTGCAGGAGGGCCTCTGTCAGGAGAGAACAGTGCAGGCAGGCTCCCAAGAGTAACTGCAACCTGGGCCCCACAAAACCTTTCAAGCCAATACTCTGATCTCCCCCGAACAAATAACTCTTGTCATCTCTCTTCCCTCCATATCCACCAGTCCCAGCACCTTCCCCTGCAGGCTGCCAATCAGTATCAGCGGTGAGGATTGTTTGGGGGAGGCACCTGTCCAGAGAGGATAGGGCTGAGACCCGCCCAACTCCTCACACAGGCTGCAAACAGTTCCTCATCAACATCGACCTCTGGTGGACGAGAACCAGCAACCCGGGGCCTAAAGGCGACCTCTTCAATTGCCGATCCTTGAGCCACCTGTGACGGGTTCTCCCCCTGGGTGCTACCTAGAACTGGGGTACTACTGAACCCTCTGACCCACCAGCCTGGGCTCCCTCTCACACTGCGCTGCTGTGACAAGATGCAAAGCTCTCAAGCTTCCACTTGCACCAGCATTCACACGGCTGCAGTTACACGCAGGCTTTCTAGCCACCAGCTTCCCAGCCTAGGACCCCAGAGGTGTACCATCCTGCCCTGGTCAAATCTAGCCGGTTTGCCTCTCCCTCAATGTGAAGAGGGCCATGCACACTTTTGGTGACCAAGCTGAGATTTTCCCCAGACACTTTAGTCAAATGCAAACTGGTTTGCATTAAAACACAAAATAAGTTTATTAACTACAAAAGGATGGATTTTAAGTGAGAGCAACAGATCAAAGCAGATTACCTAGTAAATAAACAAAACCACAAACTGAGCTTAACATACGAGATAGGTAGGATATGAATTAGCAATTCTCACCCCGAGTGATAAACAGGTTGGCAGATTCTGAAGGCACAAGCTGCCTTTGCTTTGCAGCTTGGGTTTCCCAGGTTTTCATTCACAGGCTAGAAATCCCTTTAGCCTGGGACCATCACTTCCCCCAGTTCAGTCTTTGTTCCTCGGGTGTTTCCAAGGGAGCTGTTGTAGGGAGAGTGAGGTACCATCATAATATTATTTCCCCCTTTTATATCTTCTTCCCCTTGCTGGAAAGCCCTTTTGCTGTGACCTGGGTTAAACAGTTCCCATTGGGTGGTGCTATCTCTGAGAGGTTTCTCTTGTACGCAGTTCCTGGGGTAATCCTTGTGCTTGTGTGCATTTCCTCAACAAGCCATTAACATTGTTTGGCCTTTTTCCTGTTGTACCCGAAAGGCTGCTTGTGTGTGTTTTCAACCTCACAACATGTTTCAGTAACACACACATGGCCAAACTTCATAACTTCACATACAATCCAAGGAGATATTACTGTCTAGCAGATCAAGCATTTTAGAATGATACCTCAAAAGGCAGACTTTGTACAAAACATGTCCTAATGACATGACAGTGGTGAATAAGGGGGTGCCTGGATGTCACACCCCCACTCCTCCGCTGGGTGTGATTTAATGCTGGCGTGGCTGCTGCATCTTCCCCTGGATAAATGGGAGAGCTCCACCTTTTTGAATTCCCATTTCGTTACTGTAAAATTGGTGCTGTGCTAGAGCTTGATGCGGGGCGGGGGACGGAAGGGGGGGGCCTGTCACGTGCTGTTTCCTTCCCTTCCGCAGAAGAGTGTATGTGACGTTCCAGGGAACCGTTCTGTAAAGATGTCCCAGCCAGCCGTGACTTTGCTAGTTAGGAATCCAATTACGACGAATGCTCATGGCTGTTACGCACTAATGCACTGGCCAGAAAGCACTTGCTTATTCCTTCCCTCTGCCTCCACCTGCCCTGAAATCCTCAGTCACACATAATGCTGGGAGATAACAGCTCCTTCCTCAACTCCCTTCCCAGGGGGGTGCGCCTGAACGCAAACAGCAATGAGCTCCCAGGTCTAGCTGTTACAGGGCTCATCCAGGACCTTCTGCAGCCATCAAGGGGATCAGCTGCAAAATCAGCCTCCCTCTCCAGTGTGGTCCCTGGGTCCAGTGGGGAGGAAGAGCAGTGGTGCAGGGTCACTGTCCTGGCAGGATCATTTAGGGGACAGGGTTAATCTCCAACTCACAAGACGTTGGCCCTGACCAAAGAGGACCTGAATGCTTACGTGCCCCACTGAGCAAGCCAGGACATTTCCCAGCAGTGCCTGGTGCCTTGCTGTCCCTGTAAGGATTGCCAGAGCAGAGCCGTCGGGCACCGTCTCTGAGAGCTGCCAGTGCCAGGTGAATCAGAGGAAGGTGCCAGCTCCATCCATGGGGGCCGCTTGCTCATGGGGAAGTCACTTCCCTGCCCTGGCAGTTAGAGGTTGGCTCATCCCAATGCAGGAAAGGTCTTCCGGGTCTTCGGCGGCTGGTCCCTCAGTCCCTCTCGGAGCGAAGGACCCGCCGCCGAATTGCCGCCGAAGAATGAAGCGGTGCGGTAGAGCTGCTGCCAATCGCGGCTTTATCTTTTTTTTTTTCCGCTTCGCCTCTTGGGGCGGCGAAAAAGCTGGAGCCGGCCCTGGCCAGAGCGCAGGACTCCCCAGCGCTGTCCTAAAGCAGCAGGGCTGAGTGTGCGGCACCCCGTGTGACCTGGAAACAACAACAGGCTGGGACTTGCCCCCCTCGGCGCTCAGCCCCGTGGTTTCAGTGCACATACCCAGCGCCGGACTGGGATGTCCAAATGCTGCCAAGAGATTCAAATGGGGAGTTCAAGCGACATTTCACAGCCCGCTCCAGGGATGGTCCTTTCAGAATAAGCCCAACATTTGAGACACTAAAGCTGCCTAGAAACCCCTTCCCTCCTCCCCCCCAGCACAACCACCTTGTGCTTTGCAGTGCTCATGAGATGGGTACGGACGCTGCAGCCCGCCATCCCGGTATGCTTGCTGGGCATCCGGCCCTTGCTGTCCCCGCTTGGCTACAAGAAACTCTCGGTCTCCATCTCATCCCCAAATTCTTTATCCCACTTGCACTGGGAGTGAAGTCATCCCAGGCTTCGGACACTCACGAGGAGCCAGAGTGAGGGAACAGGTGACTAGCTCTTTGCACGTGCACTGCACCCATTCTCTCCAGAGCAAGGGGGCCACCCTCACAGATTGCAGGGATTGGGCTGATTTAATCTGCTCAGTGCAGAAAGAAGCAGTCGCCAATGATGGGAGGTGAAGGGATGGATGCGTTGAACATTATGCAACAGAAAGATAGGGGCTGGAACTGCATCTGCAGCTCACAGCTCCTGCAAATGACTTAGCTAATAGACCTGTCTATGGTCCACTGTTGTCAACCAGGCACCAGCAAGTTACCTCCAGCAAAATGCAAAAACCCTGTTGATGGCGCTGGGAGCATATGGCCTGGGCTGGCGCAGTGGCATCACTTACACCTGGACCCTGTTGTTCTGAAGAGGATGGAAGAGTACAAGAACAGCTTGAGATTCAGCAAAGGCCCCTCTGGTCCTGGTGGACCTGCCGGCTTGCTGGTGAGAAGAGTTTTTCTGTAGTCAGGCTGCTAACAACTGGAAACCCCCCAAAACAGAGACTCCAGGGGACCACTCACCCTCTGCCCCACCCCAATCGTGGATCCCCTAAATATCCCCACAGAAACTCTTTATCAATAAACTCCCTGCACTAGGAGGCAGAGAACCCTCGAGCATCCACTTTCTTTCCCCTGCATCTCTAGTGGTTAAGAGCATGAGGCTGGGAGCCTGGATTGGAATCTTGGCACGGCCATGCGACCCTGGGCAAGTCACAGAATCATAGGAGTGGAGGGACCTCGAGAGGTCATCTAGTCCAGTCCCCTGCACCCATGGCAGGACTAAGTATTATCTAGACCATCCCTGACAAGTGTTTATCTCTCATCCTCTCTGTGTCTTGCTTCCCTCAGCTGTTAAATGGGATTCCTTATGGAGAAGCACAGGGCTCAGAGCGCAGTGACCCTTGATGCCATGCCAGAGCAACGGCCTACCCGCTAGCCTTACTCATTGTCAACCTTGCTT